TTTTATTGTTATTTGGGGTAAAATTAGTGTAGGCATGTTCATCTGTACTGAAATCACACCTTCATTTGCCAGCGCAGATGTACCCTGTAATCATAAAGCCACTCTAAAATCTCTCTTGTTACAATCTCCAACATCTTATGATGAAAAACATATACTGCTTAGTGACTATTGTAGCACAAATTCCCTGTAGCTCTAGTTCCTGTGGTGGCCTGACCTGGCTGGACACCAGTGCCCACCAAAGCCGCTCTGTCACTCCCCTCCTCAGCAGGACAGGGGAGAGAAAATACAACAAAAGGCTCATGGATGGAGATAAGGACAGGGGGTGATCACTCAGTGATCACTGTCATGGGCAAAACAGACTCGACTTCGGGAAATTAGTTTAATTTATTACCAATCAAATCAGAGTAGTGTAATGAGAAATAAAACAATTCTTAAAACACCTCCCCCACACCCCTCCCTTCTTTCCATCCTTAATTTCATTCCTGATTTTCTCTACCTCCTCCCTTCCAGCAGCACAGGGGGATGGGGAATGGGGGGTTGCGGTCAGTTCATCACACGTTGTTTCTGCGGCTCCTTCCTCCTCACGCTCTTTCCCTGCTCCAGTGTGGGGTCCCTCCCATGGGAGACAGTCCTCCATGAACAGCTTCACCATGGATCCCTCCCACAGGGTGCATCCCTCAGGCACAGACTGCTCCAGCGTGGGTCTCTCACAGGGCCACAAGCCCTGTCACTAAACCTGCCCCACTGTGGGCTCCTCTCTCCACGGGCCCACAGGTCCTGCCAGGAGCCTGCTCCAGTGTGGGCTTCCCACGGGGTCACAGCCTCCTTCAGGTGCCTCCACCTGCTCTGGCGTGGGGTCCTCCCCGGGCTGCAGGTGGGCAACTGCTCCACCGTTAACCTCCACGGGCCGAGGGCGCGGCCTGCCTCACCGTGGGCTTCCCCACGGGCCGAGGGCGCGGCCTGCCTCACCGTGGGCTTCCCCGCGGGCCGAGGGCGCGGCCTGCCTCACCGTGGGCTTCCCCGCGGGCCGAGGGCGCGGCCTGCCTCACCGTGGGCTTCCCCGCGGGCTGCTCCGGTGCCTGGAGCACCTCCTCCCCCTCCTCCTTCACTGCCCTTGGTGCCTGCAGGGTTGTTCCTCTCACGTACCCTCACTCCCCTCTCTGGCTGCAGTTCTGTAACGGTTTTGTGGGATTTTTTTCCCCCTGCTTAAATACGTTGCCCCAGCGGCGCTACCGCCATGGCTGCTGGGCCCGGCCTTGGCCAGCGGCGGGTCCCTCTCGGAGCCGGCTGCACTGGCTCTGTCAGGCACAGGGGAAGCTCCAGCAGCTTCTCACAGCAGCCACCCCTGTGGCCCCTGCTACCAAAACCTTGCCACGCAAACCCAATACAGTTACATAAACCACCGTTTAAAAAAACACAGTTTAGTTATAAGGTGCACATTAAAAGCAGCTTCACTGTCTTTCTCCCTGAAGTGTATACTGAGCTCTCCATAAAGGAGGTTTACATTACAAGATCAGTTAAAATAAGCTTTAAAGAAGCTATCAAGAGTTTCACAGTCCATGGTTTCACTTTCTTTCCAGCCCTACTGCAAAGCATTTGGGATCGTCCTAGGATGCTGGGGGTGAGGGAGTTAGCCAAGAGACCGGCTGGGTAGAGGAGATGTGCCGGGGGCTGGCTGTGCGTTGGGCAGGAAGGGGAAGCTGCCCACGTGTGACTGAGGGTTACAGCACACATTGAGCAGTGCATGTTCCCCGGTGGCAGGCGCTTCCTCACCGTGCTCACGAGACCGCCGTCGCCTCACAGGACTACAAAGGGGATTTGATTACATACCGGTTTGTTTGCCCCAACACATGACAGTGAAGAATGAACTGTCTTCAAAACACTTAAGCAAACAAGCACATTTTGGAGAGATTTGTTCAACTAATGTTAAAAGTTAAAGATTACCTTTACTGTACAGTAATTGTTCACTGAGGAATCTTCTTTCAGGCTGTAAATAATATTTTGTATTATCACTGTATTATTTGCTTTCAGGAAACATGGGGTTTGCAGTATAAAAGTAGATCCATATTGGTTAAAATTCACTTGGCATCTTCCCCCCCCAACTTTAAAAAAAAGATTTGTAGATTGTTGAGACATTTTAAGTTTGTGGCTATAAAACTGCTGAGGATGTCAGCTGACACTTCTGCAGGCTGCACAGAAAGAGCATTTCAAAGCTCTGTACTTGCTGGAGTTCACTCCTCTGTGCAGTAGCGCATTATTCTGGAAGCAGTGCTTCTACTCAACTCTTTAATGTTTTTCCAGAATGAAAAGGACATTAGCTGAGTACCTCTCTTCCATAATGCTACTGCTAAAATCAGAATTTTCGTACATGCAATGCTGAGTGAGGGAACTGTCATGCCTCTACAGTATGTCCTTAACTAGCATTCAACTGTGATAGTAGTATTCAACCTTATTTGCTTCCCAGTCTGTCACAGGGCTCTGAAATCATGGTATCAATTGCATACCACTGTGATATGCAAGCTGCTCTGCAGTCCTGCACACACCAGCCTGCACCCTTTGCCTTGGAGAGGAAACCGCTGCTCTCCAGTTGTCCATGCCAGATCCAGAAGTGACTGCTGGCATTATGTCTCGGTGGGACTGGAGGATGACTTGGGTGTTCACGTGGCCCAGAAAAGCAGCAGCTGCTGCTCCAGATCCTGCTGCCTCTGCCACTGTGCAAGGGATACTGGCATAAACAAAATTAACATCTGGCCTGTAACATGAATTATCCCGACTTAGCAGCACTAATACCTGAAATCCTTTAGGGGTTGGTCAGGAAAAGAAACGACGCGTAGAATTTACATTCAAGAATTGTCCTGCCAGGAACAGTTCCTTACTTTCCTTCCCAATGTGCCAGCAAGATTAGCACTGAATCCACACAGAAAAACCCACTGAAGACAGTGAGTGTAATATGTAAGTCTACCCAGCTGCAGAATTTAAGGACTATATGTGGAGGGAAGCTTCTTCCCCTTTAACCATTTCTATTTGCTCCATCTCAAAATACTAGATACTGTTTTGAGATGTTGTTGCAATGCTACTCAAAAGCTGTTTCATAAACAACAGAATACATAGAAGACCACTGAAGGGGCAAAAGTGATAAAGTAATTAATAAAAAAACTGTAGGCTTGGATTTAAAACTGACCAAATGGTACCAGCTAAAAGGCAAGAAGGCTTTGAAGAATAGCTGTGAGTGCTGATTCCTCCACTTACAGAAATTACACTGATAATGAGCAGTAACAGAGATAATTTATTCATAAAAAGTAATCTTGTATCTCAAGCCTTGTCTTTCCCAAGATTGACTTTAATGTTTGCTGCTGAAATCTGAAGTGCTGGAAGTGTGCATGTGCGAGAATATATTCTGGAACCTAGCAACTCATTGTATAAAGCCACTTTACTCCGGATTGCTGAAGATACTTTCTCTGCTCACTGTCACGTAATGCACATGTTTCTAAACATTCATCTGCATTTATTCTGTTTCTCTGACAGTCACTGCCTTTTAATGTTGTCCTCAGCAAGGGAATAATCAAGTTTAAGCTACAGACATCAATGTTGCTTCCACCGATGTTCTTATGGCAGTATCCCCTGTACTATGAGTTTACAGAGGACTGACTCTTGTTTTGAAAATAATTATCTCTATTCATATATTTAATTTTAAAAACACTGGAAACGACTGTTTTACTTGAATGCTTCTTTATACCATACTTCGAATATTTAAGACCTCTCTTTGCTGTGTTAAGAGCAGGCACTGTTGAATAAGTGATGTATTTCCCCAAAGAAGAGTTCAGCTTGCCTAGTTCCTAATCCTATAATTACTTACGCATGTAGTTAAGAATACAAATACTTCCCTTGTAATCACATGGAGAAGGATATGCTGAATCATGGCCTTTGCTGTATAGTCTCAGTTTCTAGAGGTACTCCCATAATTCACTAATAATAATGATCCTTTTTTCTTCTACTTAAAAGAATATTGTATCAACACAGAAGGTTTTTCAGTGCAGGTTTTCACAGGAAAACATTTTTTTGTTCTAAGATTTATCTGTCTGAAGGTAAAGTAAAGAAACATTTTAACCACCCGTTCAGTAAATATTGATTTAGCTTTTATCCAAGCTTTTTGTTCTTCAAGAAAAAAGAAGAAAGGTATGAAATCCTATTGACTGAACTGTGAAACTCAGTGGCAAAATTCTCATTGGCTTCAGTATAGATCAGGATTTCACAAGGAACATTTGTGTATGTAGCATGGACTAGTTCTGATAGTGTGGAGACTTACAGGGCGCTCACAAAATAAAAAACAACATAAACTCAGCCATGCAGAACTATCAGAAATTGGTTCGACTGCCACATAACTTTTTTAGCTTTCCAATCACACACACCCCTTCTCCAACTGCTCTTCCTGCTAAATAAATAAGCCATAAAGAAAAGCTTAGAAAACACCAACTAATACCCATGTAGATTTTGTGAGGCTTGTATATAAAAATAATGCATAATAAAACACATTTTTCTCTCAATCATCACTCAGGCATGGTTGAAGCCAAGGATGGAGAATAAACTGATTAATCAATTTAGAACCTTAACAGATTTTTTTATAAAACTTATATGTTCCTGTTAATGCCTTAATAAGGAACATTCTGAAGTAGATCCAATGTACATTCCAGCTTGTTTGGGTTTCACATGCTGTCTTGCACTTTATAGAGATGGCTTTCATTAATACTGAAATAAACCCTATGCTGTTTTTACTCAGTAGGCTTTGGCCACTATTCCTCTCCTCCCCTTTATGTGTCAGTTGGAAATTGCTTGACAAATACTCTGTTTCATGCTTTCCCACTGCTGGCATGCAACATCTTTAAAGATTCAAAACAAATAGGAGGGCAGAAAAGTCAACAGGTAGGTAATACAGCAGACAGCTCCATCTTGGGTTAAACTTGCTCAGAGTAACAAGCAGTAAGATTGTATTTTTTCTTCAGAGTGCAAGTGGAGAGGCCATGAATGAAAACAAATTTCTGAACACAGACTGCAGCACAGGGTCAGTGGAAACAACAATCAAGCCGTTACCATTTAAAGATCCAAACTTCATCGTAAGTATATTATTTTAACAATTTGAAATTCTAAACTCTTCAAATAAAACATTAACTAGGATTTTATTTAACCATATTGCTAATGTAAATATTAAGAAAGTCAGCTTAACAGCCAAAAAGGTCAACAATTCTTAAGAAATTCACCTGAAGTCCATGCCACCGTATGGTCCAAAGTGCACACGGTATTATAGCATGAAAATGGCACTGGTCCAGAGACAGAACTATTATATTAAATTCTGGAACAGAGTCAGAAAACCTGCTGGATCAAGGTAAGTGCAGAAGTTTTACGGTGTGGTATCTCACAAACTACCACAGCTAGAGAGGAACAATTAATACTGCTGTGAATACAGGAATCCCGTCTCCCAGTTCCTAGTCAAGGCAGGCTGCAAAGCAATCAAAATAGAAATCAGCCAGAGTCATTAGTAACTGGCATTTTGCTCCTCTCCTGGTCCCTGAAACTCTTAACAGACCTGTGGTGTCTGTTCGTCCAGTAATTGCTAGATTTAGAAGCAAATGCTCCGTGCTCCCCAGAAGCCTGGCCTGCCGGCATTCAGAAGTCCTGTAAACTCCGACAGGCTGATGAAATACAGGCTGCTAAAACACTCTGAGGTTTAAATCGGGGAAGAAAGTGAAGGAAGACTACAGCTAGTAATGCTGACACTGCTGGGTTTGTTCTTAATATCTTTTTATCTTGCTGTGCCAGGGCCAACTCGTTGGCACACTGTACAAATGCTTTCTAGACAAACAAACTGCTCAGACTGCTGGTCCTAAGCCAGTACTTAGAAAGAAGGATTTTATCCCAGATTTCATTCTGTATGACTAAGATACAATATCCCACAGCATAAAACCTGAGTAATCGGGCATCGCACAGCTCGCTAAGCACAGGTTTCTCAGGGGGTATAAAATTAATCTCTGACTTGCAAGTTGCTCTGTGTCTGCTTTGCAGATGACTTCTGTCACGAGAGGGGCATTCAAATGTATACTTTGCTCACTCTAATCCTCCAGTGAGCACCAGCGTCTTTGAGAAATGGGGCTTATTGGAAAAGCTCGATTTGTGCCCAGAGGCATTCCATGTAGCTTCCATACAGGTTTTAAATAGCCATGAGGCCTTGTGCTGATCCTTTATTTCTTACAGCGTTGTCACCATTTCCAAGGAGGCGATACTACTGTATGCATGCTTGAAATAATAATGAATGTACAGAGCCTTTGGCAACTGCTGCAGAAATAATAGACAGTTATAATAAAACCATGAAATTGTCCTCCCCAATACAGTAACTAATTTGAGAAAAAATGTACCGAGTTTTAACTAGTTTTTTGGTGGTATGAACTGGTACTATCAATTTGGATGACTTTTTGAATCCTTCCAGCCTAACCTGCCTTAAAAGGAAGAAAATAAATCAAATAATGCCCATCTCTCATAAATATGCCCAAGTTTGAAGCATTAGCTCACTGCAGAGGATAGACTTAAAAGCAGAGAAGGAAGAAATTACCTTTTTCTAAACTTCCTGAATGGAATTTGCATCCTTTGAGAAAGGGAAGACGACCTTCTGACAGTTGTGTAGAGCAGTGAATTTCCTTGCTCCAGCTTTACCTGAACTTCACTGGTGCAGAGGTAGCTTGGTTCATTTGCATTTGTCAGTCATTACCTTTGTATTGTAGGTATGTGAGGTGATACTTAGCCCCATTCCTGGGAGGCATAAGTTCATATAAACCCAACAGTTGCTTTTGAGAAACCAGATTACTGAAAAAAAAAGTCATTATGGAATGATTTGGGGGAAAATTCATGTAATGAATTTGAATTAACAGTGTGGTAGTACATCTATTTTCATCTCATATCCCAACAGTCTCTATTTTAACAAGGATCTCTAGATTACTAAGGCATTACCCTCAAAGCAAACATTTGCTTTCTATACTGGATATCCATTTGCAAAACCCAATATATCATTAGCTCATGAGCATCTTTTCTGAATATATCTTATGTCTACAGAAAAAAGCTTTCTCATTGAATCCTTCCTCCTGTAATCCTCAGCAGTTTAACAGGCTAATTTATAAACCAATCACAGCAGAAGTGCATTTGCAGAACTTTGCTGAATTTTGATGAGACTGATGTGGCAGGTAGTAATTATTAACAGAAATAACAACAACTCCCCAATTGTAAGAACATTTTATTTTCTGAAGTAATGCTGTAAATCTGTGTCCTTTGATCATTTAGAAGTAGTACAGTATGTTGTGCAGCTTCTGTCTCTGGAGAGACATAAATAAATTACTCTGTAGCAATCACATTTGATAACTGAAACTACCATTATAGTACCTTTGGCAAGCCTTCCATTAGTGTACCTTTCAAAATGCAAAATTGTCTTGGCAGCCAACGTTCTATTTATTACTCTCTTTCTGTACTTCTGTCTTCTATCCTTCGAAAGAAAAATAAAATTTCCAGAAAGTTTCTCATAGTATTCATTATATTCTGCAAGATCAGTTGTGTTTTCTACAGTCACAGATCATTTGTAAAAGAACTAGAGCTGCTGCACCTGTAATATGCCATAAAAAGGAGAGAGAAAATTTAGCCGTGTAATCACAATTTTAGACCCAGCTTCATAGTAATAAGTTCTAATACGATGGGAAATACATACAGAACCCTGTAATCTCAGGCTAAACCTAACCACATTGATTTTCTATTTCCATGTAAAAAGCAGATTTTCATTTCCTTCAGTTAATCGTAAACATACTAGCTTTGACACAGTTGAAAAAGCTTTGTTTTTCTTGCAGCCAAGATTAAAGTGTACAGCATATTAGCCTGATGATGAAATAAGTGAGGATAACAAATGGCTCATGACAAGATGAGATGTACCAGAAAGACTATGAAATAGAAGTGTCACGCTCTGAAATAGTATTCCTTCTTTATTTTTTTTCTAAAGACCATATTTTTAATTCTAGCACTCCGGCATTGGTGGAGCAGCAGCTGGCAAGAAGAACAGAACTTGGAAGAACCTAAAACAAATTCTTGCTGCTGAAAGGGCATTGCCATGGCAACTAAATGATCCTAGCTGTAAGCTACTTAGATGCTTTGCATGTATTTATAAATAATAAAATCCACACAAATAACTTTCTTTAAAACAAATCTAAATTATTTCATCAGTGCATGCAGTATCTTGCTTGAACAGGGTCCGGTAGTACATTTAAGACTAGTCCAATCACACTCGCCAGCCCTAAGTGGAAAGTAGGGGGTAGCAAATAATTTTGAGCATTGTGACAGAGTTCAAATACATTTGGGGAGAGATTTTAATGAAGGAAATGTATTTCCTTTACTCTGAACAAACCAGGTTAGAAACTCCTTATTCCCGTCAGGTTTTTGTTACCTCTTCACTGCTGAGGAACCTCCTCCTCTGCATACAGCCCAAGCATCTTCTAACAGCTGGCAGCTGCTTTATTAGTTATATTTTAACTATTTTCAAATAGATTCTGCTAAACTACATACCTGCAGTATCTTAGCCCTCACTCTAAACTTGCGATCCAGCTCCTTATGCCAGATTCTCGGGAGATTTAAATCCTACATCCCCTATTTTGTTCAGCTCAGCTGAAACTGCACTATTAGCAGTCCTGATGAGCCGTCCTGGTTGGAGTACATCTACAGGAGCAGAGTTACAGCAGTGGTCTTAATCTAGATATACTTCAACTCTACTTGTAAAGTAGGATACTATTGAATGTAGCTGGGGGTAGAATGTGATGCTCAGATTTTACTTAAGCAATTGGAGCCATTTCAGAATTGAGCAAATGCATATACTTTTTGTCAGACTTGCTGCTTTATCCAAAAATAGTTTGCCATTTTTTGAAGTGTTTTAGATGCAACTGTTATAGAAAAATGCAGACTACTGTGTGTTCCTGGCTATTGTAACTGACAATCTGCTGATGTTGCTATTCCTATTACATTCTGTTTGCAACCGTAAATTTATAGGATTTTTTTTAGGAAGGTGGGAAGAGAAATTCAGTTGCATATTTAAAACCAACTGTCTGTGGCATTAGTGTCTTTTGAATTATGAGATGATGAGTTAGAAATTTGATATGGACGGAGCATTTGAATTGATCATAGCATCTGAATGAGGTACTAGGGAGATCAGGAAGGAGGAAGGAAATGAATCAGGTATAAGATACTTTTGTAAACATCCAAAATTGGGGATTTAACTACTTAAACATACCAACTGTACTTTAAAAATATTTATGAATGAGAGTTGCTGTCTCAAGGGCACCAAAGAACAGCAATTTCCATCATTTATTTTAAACATTCAGACAATTTTCTAGGTCATTGACTGGGCTTAAAGTGATACATGCTTAAATATTTAACTGATTTAAAAGATTACTTTGCTTTTCTGGGTTATAGTATTTCAGAGCTGCAATCTTGAGCAGTGTTTCATGGTCTTAACATACAGCGTACATATGATAATGGCTATTCTTTGCAAATAACTGACTGCAAGGGAATTCATTAAGACTTGGAAGAAATCACATTTCAAATAGCTCTCATATTTTTCCTTTTGGGGAGGTCAGTTCTGCTTACTGAACTGGTATCAGGGAGGTGAGTAGAATCAGGCTGTTGTTTACAGTGCTAACGGGCTAAATGTTTTCAGAGATAATTCTGCTTCATATTTCTTTGCCTTAGTGTTGCTAGTTAATAGAGACCTCAGAAAGTAAAGGCAACATTTTAAAGTATTGTCACGTATTTACATTTTGAGTTTACATTTAAAGATATATATAGCCCACTGAATTTATCCCTTGTTTCTCTCTAGATTTTAATATCGATGCTCCTCCTTCCTTTAAGCCTGCCAAGAAATACTCAGACATTTCAGGACTTCCGGTAAATATTTTATTTTTCTCTTCAAAATTGGCATCTCACTTTCCACAGTGAAATAAAGCTGGTGCATGCTTTTGTAAAAGCTATGCTTGCTGAGGTTCCTATTCAGCCTTGCACTTAATAGTTGTCCGGTGATTTAGGGCCAAACCCCAAATACTGTCACTACATCACAAAATTCTTGGGTTGTTAATAGATACCAGGACAGATTAAATACCTTTCCTGCCAGGTGGCTCCTATCACGCCACTCTCTCAGCCATAGAGTGCATTAGCCCCCATTGTTTCTGATTTTTTAGATTGTTAGAGTAAAAGCTGGTGGCCCACAGTTTCCATGACTCCTAACTTTGCCAAGCTTTAACCACACAAATTGAATCTTTGCATGCTGAGTGTTTGCCTGAGGCTGATTTATTTCATTGTATCTTTTAGAGAAAATTTCAAAAAGGTGTCTCAGCAAGAATGAGGTTAGGCAAAATTGTACTAATTGGCCTGGGTTAAAAAAAAAAAAAAAGTCTTGTTATCATTATTCTCAAACTTTCCCTCAGAAAAGTCAGCCTGAGACAGACATTTGGCATGGACATTTTAAGAACTTAAAATACCCCCATGCTTCAGAGCTGGAACTTGGAGTTTGGCAGATGTATAGCCTGTGTGTCACAGATGGGGTATTTTACATGATTTTGTTAAAGGAAAAAGAAAAAAATAAAAAAAAAGACCTGATTTTACTCAGATACAGTTTGCACATGCTCCAAAAAGTCTCAGTAGTTACAGTTTGGCACCTGAATTCCCCAAAGATTCTGTTGGCACAAAACGGGAGTAAAGTCATTGAATTCTGCCCAACAAAAATTTTGTATCTGCTGATGACACTGTTCCTATGTGACATGAATAACTTTACTTAAAACAAAACTGGTGTTAGTAACAGCATATCTTTTCACTTTTCACCTTAAACCCCCAGTGAGTTACTTTGCAGAATTCTATGCATTTATTACAGTTTAAATGAATGGGAATACTGTATTTTGGACTATAAAAAGGGTTAAGTAATGGTTACACTGTATAACTACTGTAACGAAAACTTTGTAACGTCAGATAGTCTTAGAATTTCTGGGTCCCTTCCTCCAGTTTAATCTGTTTCTCATCCCTAGGGCACAGGTTCAGTATCACCTCACAGAGATGCCTGTAAATATACGCACTTGTTACGCTGCTGCAGGTTAAGACAGCACCTTGCATTTTGTACACTGAATTAGGTGAAAGTCCCCACTGGAAGGAAAAATGAGTGAGCATTTAATCAAGGACTGCCTTATAGTGGCTACACAGTGCGAGGCATCAAAGAGTAGCTATAGTGCCAGCTGTAAACCTGCACATCCTTACATTTGAGTTCTTGACTTGGTAAAGTATGTTTTAATTGACTTTTTAATTTTTTAAGTAAGGCATTTAAATAAGGCACCTAGGAGGTGACGTATTTCCAGCCTGTGCCTTTGAGCACGATTTGGAAATGGAGAGGGTTGCTTGGATGGAGGCTGGTAACCCTTGGTGTTCAAGAGGGAATGGGAAAGCAACACCCCCCTAGCAGATGAACTGTCAGTCAGCAAATGAAAGAGACTGCTCACACACCCAGGGAAGATAATTCCCGCCAGGCAGACTTACAGTCTTGTGAGAGTTTTGCTTTGATATAATAGCAATTTGTTTTCAGACAAGGAGCAGGATTCACTTGAATAAGGAACTTTGCATAAGTGCCCCGACTCTCTATAAAGATCCAGTGGGTGGAGGAAGGGGGGAATAGGTGGACATGTGTAATAGTAATCAGTAGATTTCACCAAAATAGCAAAAATTCCATACTGGGTCACTTCACAGTGTTCATCTGTTTCCAGTCCTCTCCCCTTAGAGCTGCTTTGCAAGCGTTGGTAGCATTCACACTGGGTGTCGTTAGTTACTGCAACGGCTCTGGCCTGTGAGGGGCTCGTGTGGGGCAGAAGGCATAAGGGCATAAGTCCCTTTCTCTGCCCCATCTCTAAGGAACCAAATAATGCTTTCTAGCACTGGCCTTCCATTCACTTCAAAACCAGTCAGTTGTAGCTATGCGGAGATGATGATGCAGTTCATAGATGTGAGTGAAGACTGTGTCCCTACCAGGTAACGGTCAGTTTAGTCATAGGAAATAAGTCTTCCTCTCAATTCCTCAGTTTTTCTTTACCAGCCCCTCCTTTCCATCATTGATTTATGTACTCTTAACTATTCTAGCTCATTATAAATACTCTCCTTTCTATAGGAATTCATTCAGTGCTGCTTTTGTTTGCTTTTTTTGTCTTTCCACTTTTTTTTTTTTCTTCTTTATTTTCCGTCCTCTAATTGCATCACGAGTCAAGTTTCCTATTTTACCTGGCCTGCAAGGTTTATCCAGAGTATGGTAAAAATACCGTGTTTAAAAAAATCTTTTTTATTAAGATAACTGAGACATTGTGTCCTTTAAATTGCTAAGCTAGAAATGTTTCATAAGAAGCTCTAAATATATTTTCAAGATCATTTCCTTGTAAGAAGATATGTGGGGTAATAGAATATTTTAGAAATACAGTATAAGAAAAATGTCCCTATATTTTCTGTGCAAAATCTGAAAGCATTTATGTAAGAATATATTTTTATGGGAATGCTGGATTGTCGAAGGGAAAAAAAAAAGTAAAATAAATTCCTTAGCATTACCCATTTAGGAAATAATTAAATGGTCTAGCAGGCACAAAAAAAGAGAAGTGTATTAAGACAGTCTCATTAGTATATCTGCAGTTACATTAAATGCCACAATTAAATTCTACTGATCCTCTTCTCTTTCTGTGTGTAATGCAACTGGAATTAAATTTACCAATGGCCTAAGCAGAGCAGCCCATTTATATTTTCAAGGCAGCCTAGAATTCAAAAGATATTATCTACTATATTGACACTGCAAAATAAAACTAGTATTTCCAAACTTGCAAGATGAGTGTTTAGTTATTTTAACATGCAAAACAAAGTAATTTATTGTAAAGCAGATTAAAAAAAAAACCAAAACCTTCAAATGTTTATATTTCTCTTACTTTTCTGAAAATGGATCAGCCTTGTTACTATAGAAACAAACTGAAATAACTAATTGTATTTGAAAGAGCTTGTGTCTGTGGTCTTTGACTTAGTTTCTGAATATGACAAAGTTTTTTTCTTTGCAAAGTCACCTAGCTTCACTTTTCTAATCTGTTCTAATTATCGCTGAAGTAGTGGCATAGTTTGTTTTCAGAGTGAAGTCATGGCATAAATGACTAGTTACCATACATCATGTGTGCAAGCATTACGGCCCAATATGAAGTATCAGAATGGTGAGGAGCTGCCATAATATTTTTGTCCTAGATTGGTGCGCAATGCAAATTGCAGATATTGCTTGGCTAGTTTGTTACAGAATTATCCACATTTGAAAAGCAGTCATCTTGGTTAGCTTTTTCATACATGATGCCAGATTTAAAAGATGAAATAAAAATAAATTTATACCTGCTGTAACCATAAAGTTACTACCAGGGATAAATTCACTCCTAATGTCCTAACTTTGCCATTTGTTTGAAAATGGATCGATGACTTGACTGTTAGCTGACTACATTTAATTAACCTGGTGGCATTTCTTTGTAAAGAAACAAGCTACAAATAACACTTAATTTTCTGCTAAGTCTTATCAGGCCAGACAATTAACTGGATTTTTACCATGGTCAACATATCCTTTCCAACATAAAAGTGGTAGAGGGCTCTGCGTTTCAGCAGTGTGAATGGGGGAACTCTCCAGCTCTTCCCGGCCTTTTTTAGTAGCCGTGTCCTAAGGGATCTCAGCTGCCTCTGCCTTGCAGCCTGCTCCCACCTCCTGTTAAAGCAACGTACAGGAGACACTTCCAGAGCTTTGGCAGCCACTTGGTAATCCAGCGCTGAACAGGCAGCGACTGTCCTGGAGGCTGGAGGTGGAGAGAAAATACCCTCAAGCCTGCCTTCTTCCAGCCCAGGCAATAATACCCTCAAGCCTGCCTTCTTCCAGCCCAGCCTCCTCTGCTGCCCCACAGCTCGTCCGAGCTCAAGGTTTCTGTAGCAACAGGGAAGGGGAGAGGATGGAAGGAAACTGGCACCGCTCCCAGGTACCCAGGGTCCAAATATAGCTGAGGGTGCAAGCGTAGGCCAGGGTTGGCTGGCCAAACTGCTATCCTGAAAGCAGGCATCTGTAGCAAAGCTCAACGCTGAGTTCACATTTCTTATCAGTTCAGTCACAGAACCATAAGCTGAGACTCCTTTGCTTTAACAACCACTTTATAGTAAATTAAAAGCTGAGTTGTATGCAGGAAGAGAAAATCAGTCCAAAGCTATCAGAGCTCCCATAATTCAGTCTCTTTGTGGGTAATTTATTGGCAGTAGCCTGACTCTTTGGAGAGCTGCCTTGAGAGAGACTGCACAAGGCACAGAGTTGCTAGGGTGAGTTTAGAGAGTTGAGGAATGTCTTTTGCACTGTGTTTTGTATGAAGCTATTTCAGCCCTCTGTTATGTTTAATGCATTTCTAATGTGATTTTATAGGGGCCTGTTAACTTCTCATAAGTTCTGACATAAGGAGAAAGAAAAAACTACGAACTTTTGGTCATGTGATAGAATAAAAGTGCTATTACTGGGAAAAGAAACGCACTATTTTGTGGTCTTGTAATTAGACACTTTTTTAACATTCTGTTTCAAGATTTTATTTGCATAGCGTTTCTGCCATTGTTTCTTTTTCAGGCAAATTACACAGATCCCCAGAGCAAGCTAAGATTTAGCACTATTGAAGAATTTGCCTATATTCGGATGCTCCCTTCAGATGTGGTTACAGGATACCTGGCTCTAAGGAAAGCAACAAGTATTGTTTCCTGAAAAGACCAGATATTGTTGTATATTGCTCGTGAACAGCGCTGATTTTGAGAACCATGATGGAAACTGACTGCAGGACTGAGGTTCCTTAAAACTATTCATGGATTTTTACATCTGGAAGTAGTTGATGATACATGGATTTGAAGAACACATGGATTTAATTTTGATAAATGCTGATATTTGTTAGTTTGACAATTTGTAAGTAATTTGGTTTGGTGAACAGAATAGCTTAGACTTTAAAGATATGTATCTGCACCATAATGTCTGAGTTACATTAATTTCTGTAGAGACAGGGTTTCATCTCTACACTGTGTATTTTATGTACTGCTCTGGCTCAGAAGAAACAGTCATTTGAATTAAGGACAAGGTACCGAGATATCCCAGCTTCTAAACCTGCCTTGCCAGATGCACTTGCAACTTGCCTATGAAGAAGTTTGTCCCAGCTGTAAAATGAAGCTAAAATACCTGGCAAGTGCTGCTATTGTGATGACTGTTTCTGGTACTGAGCGCTGTGGAAATGAACAGCTTCACACAAATATTTGCACTGAAGAACTATCAGCATAAATAAAGTTGGACTCAAGCTTGTTTTTAAAATATCCTAATGAATATGTATTACAGGATCAAATCACCAGATAACTCTTGGTCATGACACTTTGTAGTTTTTGAGTATGTTTCACAACATGACTATTCTTCTACCTTTCCTAGTTCATACGATGTTAGTAGTAGTTAGTACAAAAAAGTACTAATTTCCATACTTTTTTTAAAACAGTGTTAAAAATATCAGGAATTATGGTGTCCAGTAGAGTTCTGACACCCAGATGTTCTTCAGCAAGGCGAGACCTCCTACCTCAGGACACTGACCTTTGCACCATGAGGTACCAGAAGAATAACCAATAGCAACTGAACGTTCTTACCCTTTAGAGGAAGGAGACTGAAGAAGAGTTTGGGCTGCTGCTGGGGGGCGCTGACAAGTACCTGTCAACATCAGAATGACTGTGATTTCCTGAAACTAAGTCTAGGGGCAAGGGAGCAGAGGGTTTTCTGCCCATTCTTTCTTTCTGTCCTCTTCCTTACGGCAAGCTGCTGATTTTGTGGTCTTCCCACTTCTGCATCTTTGTCCCAGCCTTAGATTCTTGTCAAGCTTTAATCTGGCGTCCAGGTTCAGGCTCAGCCGTTCCTAGCCTCCAACCACACAGCCTTCACGCAATACTCCACCAAATACCCTGTAGCTGTGGCACTTGCCTCCCTTAACTCACTGAGCCAGTGGGTGTTAGCCAGGAAGGCTGCTGGGCCAGTTACCACTTGCTGTGGGAATGCTCTCTTCCCATGTGTGAAAACTAGTCCCAGAGTTTGTTAGTCTTGGCCTGCCCAAATCACTAGGGAGGCGACACACTGATCATGGGACTGCAGCCCTGTCTCACCCAAGCTCCCTCATGGACATGGGGATCTTGTGCAAGGCACCTCTTCTCTCTGATTGCACAAGCAGCACACAGAGGTGACTGGTTAGTGTCTAAGCTGTACCTTAGATGTACATTTCTATGCACATGATAATTATTAGAACTTTTTTTTTTATTTCCCCCTCATTGGAAGAATAGATATGCAGAGTATTATTAATGCTAGTTTAATTTCAGCTCCAAAACAGGAAAAACAAAAATGGGACACATTGTTTAATGTAAGTCTGTGGGACTCGTTCCTCAGTTTCTGTGATCTAATATTTACAAAAACAAAGTAATTTCAAAAGTCTTTGACATGCTTACAATAGATCCTTCAAAGCCCTGGATACCAGATAATGCTACAACTGTATCACAGAACAAAAAAGAATAAGACAGGATATCTCTCTTCATGCCAGTAAGCATCCAAGCCACGTTCTCTTTGCATCCGAGCTTTAGAATGGATGTTTTTAACTTACTTTACATACCGAAGATGTCTTTATAAGATAAGCCTAACACTGATTTGAAAAGAACTGCTATGAAATTATTTATGCTTTAAATAGGCAGGCAGTAGCTCAGAAAATCATATTTCACCATCTTGTTCTCTCCCACAAATATTTTTAACATTCTTTGGGAATGACTGTTTAGGAACCCAGGCTCCCTCACCATCAGAACTGCTCCACGCGCTCCTGTGCTGTCTATTAAGATGTTGCTTCTCAGCTAATTTCTATTAGACAGTGTTTATGCATTCCATTTTCAAAACCTAAGTGTCTTACCGAATAAATCAGCATCAGAAAAGTAAATACAGTTTAGATTTGGTAAAAACATTAGTGACTCGACTCTAGCCATACGACAGCTGCTAAATCCCATTTTCTTTCCTTCCTCATTTCGTTCCTTTGTTAGCTAGTGGCTCTTTTTTCTTAGTTGTTACTACCTCACTTTTACTCATTAGGCTGTGCAGTAGCCAGCCAAGAGTGATGAGTCAGCCATCAGCACCATTCAGACTCACATTGATCAACAACAGTTTACTGTGAGGAACAATCAAAACACATTTGTTTTAGCAGGAAGCCGAGGACAGAAAAAAATCTAGCAGCCAACATGTATGATGTGGTTCTGCCTGACTAGGTTCTTTTTGGGAGCAGCATGTGGACCTGCTGCTCTCATCAGTGCCTTCTATGAGAGAACTGAGCAATACCTCCCTCTCTGTATAGCAAATAGGGGTAAGTGAAGAGTTCATCTGTGCCGTGGAGTAGCTTTAAAGTATGTTTTACTGACAGCTTTAGATGTGAAAATTGAGAAGTACATTTATATTTCTAAGTACTTATGGGACGTTATCCAGATAAACATAAATAAGTTGAATTTACATTGCAAAGAGGACAAAAGAAAGGCATTTGAAAATAGAAGCAGCGACGAATACCATTTTAGACTTGGGAAGAATGTACTTTGACCAAGAGTACTGCCACATCTGTAAAGCAGAAAGCCAGCAGTCGGGGTGAGGACTAATGTGTTCACGTACAACCACCACTGTCTGTGAAGTATCGCCCGAACGCGTCACGTGCATTTGCATCAATATGTTCCCCTGCCATCCCCCTCCATTGCCCCTGTAACGACTTCCAGCACACCAGTTGCGAAGCTCCCACGGAAATCCCACTGACATTAACGGGAACTGAGCTTGTCCAGCAACTCGCAAGGTACGGTCCAACAGACAAAGCTTTACCCTTCGTCTTTTTGGTGGGTGGAAAGCATGTTTTCCTTGCCTCATCTGTCCTAGCCCTCAGAAAGAATGGGGATGTTTGCCAGAGGCCAAGCTCCTGTTTTCCTGGGCGGCTCCCTGCCCCACACACTGCTGGGGGGGGGGGGGTCACCTCCCGCTTACTGTGAGATTTTTCTAAAACGGCGGTAGCTTGGATTTGCCTCATGCTCTGGGTGGGCCCGCTTGCTGTCTCCGAGGCCTGGACAACGCAGGCGGCTGCCGCCGCCGCAGCCGGCCCCGGGGCAGCCAAGCTGCCTTGGCGGAACTGCGGGGTACGGCCAGGGCCCCGGGGCTGGGAACGCTGTGCTGCGGCGGGGCCGGGGCGGCGGGGCCAGGCGGGCTGCTGGGGGCAATGAGAGGAGTGAAGCTCCCTGGCAGGCTGCAGCTGCTGCCTCCGTCCTCCCCATCCTCTCTAGGGGACGGGAGAGCTGGCTGCTGCGGCGCCGAGGGCTCTTGCCTTCATGATTCACTGCTGGTTCGCACAGCGGGTCTGTCCCCAGCCCTTCCCTCTGCCGCATCTGTACTAGGAATGGCCTCGGCTCCACGTCCTGGAAAGCAGCAAAATTCAATTCGGAGAGGCCTTGGGCCTCCCCGTTGCGGAACCCCTGCATCTCACTGTCCTGTATTTCCCAGCTTTCTCCCATAAGAGCGTTCTGGATCCCTACGGAGTTACTGTGTATGGGGTTCCACGGAGGACAGGAGTAGCCAGCACATTCAGGGAGATGTGTCTTGAACTCCTTGGACGGAGGCCTGTGTCAAACCCCACCAAAGCACAGGGAAATGAAGGGAAGCAAAGGTGGGGGCTTTTTACTGGTGAAGAATATCAAAGTAAAAATTAACTAGTATAAGGTTCAAAAGGTTTTTGTAAGTCCAGTCTGTTAAGAAAAAAGCTCAAACTCCCTGCATGATTACAGTCTTTTTCCTGGAGGGCTAAGTAATCTTTAAAAATTAATATAACAATAATTTATTACTAGAAAACTTACCAAAGAGTTTTCATGTAAGACCTCTAACAGTCTCTAACAATGTATATTGTTTACGTACCCGAGACAAAACAGCACATAAGTTTTTCTTTCTGAATCACTTCAAGGAAGACTTTCACAGACGCGATACCAGATTCTGGGAGAAGAACCCTGACTTAGTGCTCGTTTAAACGAGAAGAGTCAAGCGGTATCTGTACTGTTGCTGAACGCTTCAGTCACACTAAGATGATGATAACCACTGATATTAGAATTCACAGAAATCCCTTTGTATTTTTCTCATTTTAGTATGTGTCCCCCAATTAAAACACTTTTCCCTGCCTGTTGGAGAGTGGATGGGTGGGACATAATAAGATAATACATCTTCAGGTAAGAAAAACATTTTAAGGCCATTTGTTATCTGTAAGTATTGTTTGTCTTCGCTTTGTATTATCTGAGAAGTTTAGCAAATCCAGTCTTTTCAGATGATTACACTAGTGTAAATCACAACATACAGACAGCGATAGCAGTAATCTCTTGGGAGAGATAACAACAACAACTAACAAACAGTGTTTAAAGTACTGACTGGTAAGTAGTGCTTTTGTAACTGCACACAGTTTATGACCTAGGAGATCATGTGTTAAGTACAGAACATCACTTTCTCTGGCACTGTAGCCCAAAATCAATAATCTCTACATAAAAATCATGCTACTAGTGGAATAGACAATAAGTTGGTTTGGGGGCTGGCTGTGGTTACTGTTTGCCAGCATGTTCTCCTCTGGGCAAGAGCTCCTTTCAGGTGCTTGCATGCTGACTGCTGTGGCTCTGTAACTTTACTCCAGTACACCCAGCATAACACCCCAGAAAACAGTGTCTGGTTCATGGACTAGATGAAGTCTTCTCCAAAGTCCCAAATCTGGGATGCAAAAATTACTCGTTTTTTCAAGTGAAGAAATCATTTACAAGCTGCTAACCACACACAGCGCATGTGAACAATGTCCCTTTTCCATGTGAGTCTTGAATCCAAAATCATAGTTTGTGTTAAAGAGAAATAGGTGCCCCTCGTGTGGGTACTTCTGTTTCAGCACAGGTCACACACAAGCAAGTTCTCATTGTCAGGTTTTGGAATTTCTGAAGACAGCTGCTTGCCCATGCATGGGTAGAAAGCATTTCCTGCCTCATCCTATCAAAAGAAATTGGAACCCATGCACATTCAGTGTCTCTGCATAGATCTGATAAATCTACAGCAATAAACCCTTACGAGCAGAGATGCAGGCCCAGTCTGCTTGGGCAATACTTGGTGGGCATTGGGCACTGGGTAAGTAAGGGTAATGAACAGCCAAAATTCAAACATTCTCTATGATCCCATTTATAACCCAAGAGACAGTAGATTTGCAAGACAGCTTCTCTTGATACTCTTCTCCCAGGAGGAGATGCCTCCAAAAGGACACCACA